TGGCAGGGCTGTGTTAGCAATATGGTGTAGTGGCAGGGCTGTGTTAGTGGTGTTAGCAGTATAGGGTGGCGACAGGTCTTTGTTAGCAGTATGGTGTAGTGGCAGGGCTGTGTTACTGGTCTTAACAGAATGTGGTAATGGCAGGGCTGTTTTAGCACAGTAGGGTAATGGCAGGGCTGTGTTAGCGGTGTTAGCGCAATAGGGTAATGGCAGGGCTGTGTTCGTAGAATAGGGTAGCAGCAGGGCTGTGTGAGCAATGTTAGCAGGGAGTAGCGTAGTGGCAGGTCCTGAGGTGACCCCCCCAGCTGGGAGGATGTCATTACTCTAGCATGCGCTGGTCGCTCCAGCCCCCGTGATTGCAGCCTAATCTTTCATTCTCTCCCACAATCAAGGAGGAAAGAATTTTAAAGCCCTCAACCATTTTCCCTTGTTTCTCCTGATCCAATTTTGTTTTTCAAGGAGACTGTCTACAAATTTGCTGGCTCTGAACTCTGTCCTTTGGACACAGTGTTTATATTTTATTAGATTTTTTCTTTCTGTATTATCTGGGATAAGAATCCAGTCCCTGTTTTCTTACTCTCTGATTTTTTCACTGCCAGGGCCCAGAAAAACAAGGTGCTGTCCTGGTGCAAACAGGGTCAGCAGTACTCTGTCTGTCTGTCTGTCTGTGTGAAAGTGTGTGCGTGCATGCGTGCGTGCATGCATGCAAGTTTGTCAGTGCAGTCTGCTTTTAACAGTCCTAAACAGTAACGAAATCTTTAAAGACTAAAATGGTCTTTACTAGATGTACACAGTATTTATCTGTGCTCCATGTTTAAAGCAGTCCTATGGGGTCTTAGACAGGGAGAATGAAACATGTGTCCTTCCTCTCTCCCATTCATCTCTCCCCTCTCACTTTCCCCTTCCCCTCTCTGTATACATTTCTGCTGCATATCTCTCCATGCCTCTCCCTGTCTCTCTCCCTCCATACCTCTCCCCGTCTCTCTCCCTCCATGCCACTCCCCTCAGTCTCTCTCCCTCCATGTCTTTCTGTTTGCCTCTCTCTCCCCCCCTTCACCTCTCTTCTCCCCACACTCCATCTCTCTCCTCCTCTAACCTACCCACTTTTCTCTGTTCTCCCTCCTCCTCTCTCCATCTCTTTCTTTCCTCTTCTCTCGGGGGGCGGGGGGTACACTAAGTGTGTGTATACAAATGGGGGGGGGGTCCTAAGGGAGGAATTAAAAGCTGAAAATGAGTCCTACTTGTCTTGTGAAAATGAACCCTTGCTCACTGGTTAGTGGGTATTTACTGAAATCAATTATGCAAATTGGGACAGCCTTAAGATAAACTACCACTTTAAATAATCTTAGCCCTTTCTAACAGTACTATCACTTCAAATGAGATCCTGCTAAGACTCTAAATGAGCGTAGCCCCAGTTAACAATGCTAACACTTTAAATGAGCGTAGCCCCTGCTAATAATCCTAACACTCTAAACGAGTGTAGCCCCTGCTAACAATGCTAACACTCTAAATGAGCGTAGCCCCTGCTAACAATCCTAACACTCTAAACGAGCGTAGCCCCTGCTAACAATGCTAACACTCTAAATGAGCGTAGCCCCTGCTAACAATCCTAACACTCTAAATGAGCGTAGCCCCTGCTAACAATGCTAACACTCTAAATGAGCGTAGCCCCTGCTAACAATGCTAACACTCTAAATGAATGTAGCCCCTGCTAACAATGCTAACACTTTAAATGAGCGTAGCCCCTGCTAACAATGCTAACACTCTAAATGAATGTAGCCCCTGCTAACAATGCTAACACATTAAATGAGCATAGCCCCTTCTAACAATGCAAAAACTGTAGCCACTATAGCCTCTGCTAAAGATTCTTTACAACCAGATGGTTCACTTGCCATCAAAGTCTATGAACTGCCCTGTAACACAGCTGAGCAGCTTGACACCACAGAAGTGCCTTTTATGCTAGCCATCAAGGAGTGACAGTGGCATTTTCTATGTTATGACCATGAAATGAAGTGGCCAGTTACTTCTAAACATCTCCAACTCCCATCACTGTTTCCTAGCAGCATATACCTATGGGCCATTGGGAAGCTAGCATTAGCAGTGTGACAGCCTTCCCGGTGTTGGTGGAGACCAGTGATTGCTTTTTTAATGCCAGCCTCAGAGGGCAGAAACCAGACAAGTGCTGAAACAATTCCAGCACAGCTTCGCTATTGGCTCACCTCGGACAATAGGGGGCGCTGTGGCATTAATATTAAGGCCCAGAGTCTGAGATTGGTAGAAAGATCAATACATGCGTTGGTAGATCAATATATTTGTGTTTAATCAGATAAGAGAGAGAGAGTCCAACCATGATGTCTTTTGGAATAAACCGAGGAATTATCACATTATCTAAAGGACTGAGTAGAGAATAACCAAAGTTATGTTGTATTTACCACAGCTTTCTGCAGCATCCCTTCTCAATGGCGGACACCAGAAGAGGATGGCTAAGTTTCACACCCAGATGAAGTCAACTGCATGTCCATCGCTAAGCGCCAGTTCCCCATGGGAGCGCTCCTGCGTAATTTGTTTTTGCAGCGTGGTGGAGTAAAAGCACAGGCGGTTATTCTGGAGAATGTCAAAGCATTTTGCGTCAGTTAATGAGAAATGTTTTTAATAAAACTTTGTGAATGCAAGGGCACCTCCATGAAAGGGGGGTATTTATTTTTCCTGAAGTTTCATTCCTTTCTTGGTGGATTTAGAATGAAATGCGTCATTTAAAATCCCGTCTCTCTCGTTATTTCTGTGTTATTCTGTAATCAGAGATAACATTTGTGCTGTGGGGAAGGCTGAAAGAGCATTAATATTAGCATCAGTGTGAAACCCTCAGCCGCTTTTTACAAAGAACACTTTTGATAATAAAACTGTCTGAGTCATTACTCAGAGGAGCAGCCTCTTACGCGTCTCTCTTACTCGTCTCTTATACTTTTTTAGCATTTGGGGAATATAAGAACATTTCCTTCAACTTTAAAAGGCCCCTCTGGTCCAAATAATTATCTTTCAGTTGATAAGTTGATATTCCGTTCTTCATAATATCTATCCATTTTTTTGTTACAAAGTCAGCTGTTCAAGTCATACCCATGAAGTTTAAAAACATTTTGTTGCCAACCACCCCTCTCTCTTACTGTAATACCAAAATAGTCACTGTTTTAGAGGGTGCTGCATTGGGGCTTCCATAAAGATTCATTCATCATTTTAATGAGTAAAAACATAACCAGTGATCAGGTTTATGGGGAAAATGACTGGAGGGGCTTTTAAAATGCAGTGTAAACTTCAGATATATAACTGTTTTCTCTTCTCCTCTTGTCAAAAAGTCATGCTTTGCATAATTGTAATCTATGACTGGTAAATATGAATGAGGTATGGACAAATTATCATTAATATTGCTGAATATCATGGTTACAAACTGTGTTAGCTTTCAAAAATGCAACTCAGTGAGTCAAAGTGCAGTTTGATGAAATTGTTGTTAATTGAGTGAGTGGTGCAGATGATTGAGGTAATGCAGAACAATGAGGCCCAGGAGCTGGTGTGACAGGGGGGATCAACACATTTCTGCAAAGAGCTTCAGGATAAAACGCTCGGCTCCTAGCCACCCACAAGACAGGGTCCCGACCAAAATAGACTCTTTCTTGAAATGGTTTCCTTTCTGTTCCCTGTTCCTCTCCCGTTCTGTTCCCTGTTCCTCTCACATTCTGTTCCCTGTTCCTCTCCCTTTCTGTTCCCTGTTCCTCTATCGTTCTGTTCCCAGTTCCTCTCCCTTTCTGTTCCCTGTTCCTCTCCCTTTCTGTTCCCAGTTCCTCTCCCTTTCTGTTCCCAGTTCCTCTCCCTTTCTGTTCCCTGTTCCTCTCCCTTTCTGTTCCCTGTTCCTCTCCCTTTCTGTTCCCTGTTCCTCTCCCGTTCCTCTCCTGCATTGTTGCAGTCTCCCAGAGGTTTTGCTCTCATGCTACCATGGTGACAGAAAGATAGGCAAAAACCCCAAACACCGGCAGGGCTCTGTTCCCCCTGCCTGTGTGATGAAACCCCAGATAGCGGCAGGGCCGTGTTCCCCCTGCCTGTGTGATGAAACCCCAAACAGCGGCTGGGCCCTGTTCCCCCTGCCTGTGTGATGAAACCCCAAACAGCGGCTGGGCCCTGTTCCCCCTGCCTGTGTGATGAAACCCCAAACAGCGGTAGGGCCCTGTTCCCCCTGCCTGTGTGATGAGTTTTTTTTTTATTGTAATTAAGCCTCTTTAAGCAGCTGATCGCTCCTTCCTCAGAGACTCGGTTTCCCGCCGGGCGGGGCGGGGCGGGGAGGAGCAGGTTTAGTTGCTGTTATTAGGAAATGGCGCGTTGTGCTCATCTGTCAGGTTTCGCCGCGTGGCCTCAGACTGACGCCGGAGCGCCCCCCAAAACACCAGCCATGAATATTAAGGAGCATTGGGCCCGGTCTTGCAGTAATGGTGTCAAACGGGCGTCCGTCTCACGCCTGAACGGTCCACTGATAGCCCCCATTCCCCTCAGTGCTTTTTCATTTGAGCTGAAATGCGCTGGATGGCCTTTGACCTGCTGACCCGCTGGCAGAGAAGCACAGATTCATTCATGTAAGTCAATATAACGGATGAGGGAAGCAATTAGAGTGCAATTATCCCCTCTCCGAAAACATTATTAGCCATTAAACAGGCAGGCTGGGGGTGAGGGGGAGGGCAATGCGCTATAGTTGGGCACTTTCTCATGGGAAGTTCTTAGAGGAGCTCAAAATGCTCTGTGATTGGTCAGTTTCTCTTTGGCAGTTCTCACCAGTAGTGAAAGGGTACTCACTGCATTGTGATTGGTCAGGTTCTCCTGGAGTTGACAGAGAAGCCAGTCAGAGGTTGTGTGTCCGTGTTACATTGCAGTCATTTAGCTGGCACTTTTATCCGATGCAACCTACAGTTGATTAGGCTAACCAAGGACCAATCCCCCTGGAGCAATGTGGGGTTAAGACTCAGGCTAGACTGGGGCTTGAACCCCCAACCTCAAGGGTCCCAGCCATGCACCCCAGCCACTGGACTACTACCCTATGTTAATGTGGGTGAGTGCATGCATGCAAATTTGTGTGCGTGCGTGCGTGCGTGCGTGCGTGCGATTGAGTGTATGCTTCTCCATGCATGCCTGTTTGTGTGTTTTCGTGAAGGTGTGTGTGTGTGTGTGTGTGTGTGTGTGTGGCATCGCAGGCAGTTGGTGGCAGTGGGGATCAGGGTTGTGAGCTCTCTGTGCCAGTATTAAATCTGCAGTTGGCTCGTGGCAGCAGTGGTCATGCTCTGATTCGCTCCGATTCCCTCCGATTCGCTCCGATTGGTCAGAGCAGCAGGTGTGTGAGAGGTAACACCAGGTAGGGTCCCAGCTGAGCTGAAGCACCTTGGCAAGGAGCATTGCTGGAGCTGTGTGTGTGTGTGTGTGTGTGTGTGTGTGTGTGTGAGTGTGAGTGTGAACATATAGGTGTGAATGTGTATTTGTATACATTTTAAATATACATTGCAAAGCTAGATATGTAATATGGGAAACTTCATATGATCATAATCTAGATCAGACATGTAAGTATGCTGTCATATATTATTAATTCATTCATGGGGTCTGTTTTGAAAGGGCACAAGTATGTTTTCTAGAGCTGGCACAGCATGTCATGCCGAACACTTATAACTCCAGACAATATGTGGCATTGATAATTTTTTATGGAGGCATGGTATGTGTTCGTCACATGCTACGCACTCCAACTAGATATCAGTGAAATGAAAGGCTTGTTTTCACTTAAACTTTCTCAAAGATACAGTTTTTATACTATTGACTGAGCTTTGATTCTGTATGCTGCAAATGAATTTTATCTCTCTGATGTATTTCTTGTGAAGTTCTTTGCATATGTGAGGTCAGGAGATTACAGAGGGGGTTCAAGTTCCTAAATTAATTCCTTGTTGGAGAGAAAAAGACATACTCGACTGAACCGTGTTCCCTAATTGCTGCAGCTGAAGAGATGAAGGGAATATTGTATGTGTGCAGTGTAGTGTGTGCATGTGTGTGTGTGCGTGTATGTGTGAGTGTGTGCATGTGTTCTCTTATGTACAGGTGTGCGTGCATGCGTGTCCGCGTGTGTGCATCTCCTCCAGCAGGGGGCAGACCTGCACAGCTCCTCCATCAGTCTGTGCCCCCCTGAATTATTCAGTAGGCACCTCGTCTGGAAATAGCAATTTGCAAATCAATACATCACAAAAAATATGCAATTACAATATGTGTTTATTCTGTTGGAAATCAATCCCAAAAGAACAGTTTGTGGTCTGTCAGGGCAGCTCTCGTCCATGATGCGTGAAAACTGGCTTTGAGTAAACATTGTAAGATATGTATAATTATCACTCTCCTGTACAGACGCTAGACCGGCATGGCTGAATTATTCCACACAATAATGCCGGCAGTGAAAGTATGTGTTATGGCAAGATAACATCCACCACAGACACAGAGAAGGGGGACAGACTTTAGCACCACTGAAGGTCAGATACCAACCCAAGGGAAAGACTTCTCAGGTAGGCCAGTCCAAAGAGTCAAGGTGTGTATGTTTACGTCAGAGGTGTCTCAGGGCTGCAACGGATAGCCGGGTCTCAGGGCTGCAGCGGATAGTGGGGTCACAGGGCTGCAGCAGATAGCCGGGTCTCAGGGCTGCAGCAGATAGCCGGGTCTCAGGGCTGCAGTGGTTATCAGATAGCCGGGTCTCAGGGCTGCAGCAGATAGCCAGGTCTCAGGGCTGCAGCAGATAGCCAGGTCTCAGGGCTGCAGCAGATAGCCAGGTCTCAGGGCTGCAGCAGATAGCCAGGTCTCAGGGCTGCAGCAGATAGCCAGGTCTCAGGGCTGCAGCAGATAGCCGGGTCTCAGGGCTGCAGTAGTTATCGGATAGCTGGGTCTCAGGGCTACAGTGGTTATTGGATAGCCGGGTCCCAGGGCTACAGTGGTTATTGGATAGCCGGGTCTCAGGGCTACAGCGGAGGTGAGGTGGGTAGCATCTCAGAGACAGGGCTCTGTACTCTGAGGTGGAATTCCAGGAAGCAGAAGCTGGTATTGATTGGCACTGCTCAGGGCTGCAGAGAGCCAGGGAATCAGATGGGTCGCAGATTGATTTCTGCTGCAGTCTCACAGTGTGCTGTGCAGTGTCTCGGTGTGCTGTGCAGTCTCTCATTGTGCTGTGCAGTCTCTCAGTGTGCTGTGCAGTCTCTCAGTGTGCGGTGCAGTCTCACGGTGTGCAGTGCAGTCTCTCAGTGTGCGGTGCGGTCTCATAGTGCAGTCTCTCAGTGTGCGGTGCGGTCTCATAGTGCAGTCTGTCCGTGTGCGGTGCGGTCTCATAGTGCAGTCTCTCAGTGTGCGGTGCAGTTTCATAGTGCAGTCTCTCAGTGTGCGGTGCAGTTTCATAGTGCAGTCTCTCAGTGTGCGGTGCAGTTTCATAGTGCAGTCTCTCCGTGTGCGGTGTGGTCCCATAGTGCAGTCTCTCAGTGTGCGGTGCGGTCTCATAGTGCAGTCTCTCAGTGTGCGGTGCGGTCTCATAGTGCAGTCTCTCTGTGTGCGGTGCAGTCTCATAGTGCAGTCTCTCCGTGTGCTGTGCAGTCTCATAGTGCAGTCTCTCCGTGTGCGGTGCAGTCTCATAGTGCAGTCTCTCCGTGTGCTGTGCAGTCTCATAGTATTACTGGGTAAACACTGCATTTCAAAAACATCAAAACAATCACTTGCAAACTAAGTGACTGTTTCCATAACAACAGGTTATGAGCTGGTTAAGTGGCTTCATCTTTAATTCTGGAATCCAAGTGTGACATGTCATAGCTCACATTTTAATCCTTCGTAATTCATACTTAGCAAAATAAAAACTCATAAAATTGCTTGAAAGCTGTCTGTTCGGTTTTACAGGATCACAGACTGTAACTGATGAGAAGCTAACTGTAACACTGGTCAGGAGCACTGGCTGTCTGTAACACTGGTCAGGAGCACTGGCTGTCTGTAACACTGATCAGGAGCACTGGCTGTCTGTAACACTGGTCAGGAGCACTGGCTGTCTGTAACACTGGTCAGGAGCACTGGTCAGTGCTGTATTTATCTATATTTGGAACATTTACCCCATATACGTATTATATGACTTAAATATGATTCACAGATGTTTAATTAGTTGAAGTATATACAAAATTAGATTAATATGAATTTAATTTACTTCATATGTACCTCACCATGAGGTCAATTTAATTCCGATAAAGAAACTGTTGACGATAATTTAGCGGTGCTGAAAATCATTTAAAAATCCCATGGATCCCATCAGCATCCGTCCACAGAGAGGCTGCCTGTAGTGAGGAGGTTTCAGAAAAGTGCCTGAGTGGAAGTGGAGTGGGAAGAGTGAGCAGCAGAGAGCTGGCGTGCCGCCACCGCATCGTTAGCCAGCCAGCTTTGATTTGCCAGGACTAAAACGCTGTAATCAGAGATGCTGTACATTGGTAGGCTGGCAGCGGCTGCGCCTCTCTCCCGCTGTTAGAAGGCCTTTGGAGCGCTTCTACAACCGCATCTCCTCATTAAGCATAGCTCAGTAATGGATCGGGCTAGCTGTCTGTATCCAACAAATCACAGGTCTCCTTTCTGACATGAGACTGAGACCGCCCAATCATGTTTCTTGTTAGAGAGATGCCTGGCTTTGCTAGTTCACACAGGGATTGTAAGCCGTTCAACCAGCACTTGATTGTATAATTTTTAAAACTGATGTAAACATCTTTCCACAATCTGGCCGACCTGCTGCTGTGAGTCTCATTTGTTAGCGCTTCCTCATGGAGGCTGGGCGCCGATGCGGAAGGAGTCTCACTCTGACACAGGGAGAGGTGCAGATATATATCATGGTTTCTGTTTAAAAATGATCTTCTATGTGGATATGTGGAACCCAATGAAGAATTTACTGTGGGTGTGCGTGTGGGTGTGCGTGTGGGTGTGCGTGTGCGTGTGGGTGTGCGTGTGGGTGTGCGGGTGGGTGTGCGGGTGGGTGTGCGGGTGGGTGAGTGTGTGTGAGTGTGTGTGAGTGTGTGTGAGTGTGTGTGAGTGTGTGTGTGAGTGTGTGTGAGTGTGTGAGTGTGTGTGAGTGGGTGTGGTCTGTGGGTGTGTGGGTGTGTGAGTGTGCGGGTGGGTGTGTGTGTGGGTGTGTGAGCGTGTGAGTGTGTGTGTGTGTGTGTGTGTGTGTGTGTGTGTGTGAGGGTGTGAGTGTGTGAGTGTGTGAGTGTGTGTGTGTGTCTGTGGTGTGTGGGTGTGTGGGTGTGTGGGTGTGTGAGTGTGCGGGTGGGTGTGTGTGTGGGTCTGTGGGTGTGTGTGTGGGTGTGGGTGTGTGTGTGTGTGAGTGTGTGTGTGTGTGTGGGTGTGTGTGTGTGTGGGTGTGTGGGTGTGTGGGTGTGTGGGTGTGTGTGTGTGTGGGTGGGTGTGTGTGTGTGTGTGTGTGTCTGTGGGTCTGTGTGTGTGTGGGTGTGTGAGTGTGTGAGTGTGTGAGTGTGTGAGTGTGTGAGTGTGTGTGTGTTGAGTAATGGGTGCCTGTGCAGTCTCGCTCTTTTGTCCTGTGTGATTATGATGTTTCTGATGCAGATATTTAATCTTGTGCTGTATTATCTGGGCTGGTTGAGCAGATTAGGAGGCGGTGAGTGGATTATGTGGCGGTAATTCATTTGGCTGCTGGCTGTGGAGGGCCTGCAGGATTACAGCGGCCTCTGACACACTGGGTGCTGGGGGGCCACGGTGTGCGGAAGAGAGCCTTTCCTTTCACCAGCGCCTCTTCACCAACCTCACTGTCCTCATCCGTATATCCCTGGGGACCACAGACACAGGCCCTGGCTCTCCTGAACAGACAAAATGAGACTGTGTTCTGCGGTGTTCCTCCCATGGCAGGGAGGAGGCGCTGTGCGGATGTGCTCAGAGATAGTGGGCGTGGCCCTCAGGTCACCCCGGAATAAAAGCACCTGCTCTAAAATCCCAGCCTCTCCCTCATAGGCTGGGACTGGTGATCCACATGGGTGAAGCACTGACTGGCTCAGC